AGCTCATACCCAATCTAGGAGGAACGCATACGAAATGTTCCCTGGTGAATGGATGCATATCGGTGATTATGATAATGTTATATTTTTGGTCAAGTTGATTTTTGAGAAAAGTAAAACTCGATGAGAAGAAAGTGTCGAAAGTCGGACAGGATTATGGGACAACCCAATAGATGGCAGTAGCTATCACTGCTACAACGTTGCTGGTTATATGACTCTTTTACAATAAAGGATTATGTAATTGACCTTGCGGTGAGTGAGGCTAGGTTGGCCCTATACCACACATAATCATGGATATCATAATAGCATCACCGATGAACACTAAAAATGATTGTCATCACTCGAATATTTCAGATTGGAATGAAGCAGCATATGAACTTTGGCAAGTCCCTCCGGGAAACGTACATTGACAAAATGAAATTTCTCAGTCCAAGATATTCATCTAAAGAGGTTCGTCACAAATTATTCACTGACCGACTGTAGTGGGTTGAGATGTTGTGCGGGTCCGTTAGTCACTTCGGCGAGGGGCGGCCGTTACAAAAGCACATATTCTCCTATGTAATTCTGTCGTCTGCAGATCTATGTTCGTTCGACGGACAGGAATCGAACGATAATATCAGCTATGTCGAATATTCTCGGCATGTATGGTCAAAAGAACAAGAGTGCCATCGCAGATCAGGACTATCCAAGTGATGATGGATGGCCGGAAGGATTTGTTCCGGTAGCCGTTCACACGGTTGACGACGACACCGACTACGTGGGCTCTACTTACCCTTTCAATTCTGGCTAAATAAATTGCATAAAATTTTTAGGTTCTCAATCCTGGAGCTCATTGTGATCGCCAGAAAAAACTGTGGAAAATGGCGAAGAATTCATCAGAAATGAAAGCATTCGTGAAGTCGGCAAGATGTGAGTGTAATATTGAAACACATGAAGCATTGCTATTATTTAAAACACGCACTATCATTCGCGCAGCGTTTACAAAAAGCGCACTTTTATAAAAATGTACGTCCAAGCCTAAAGATTCTTCTGTATTAGAACCGGATGATTTTGATGATTCGTGCGCCTCGTACATCACAGAGTACCGATTATTATTATTATATTATTCCAGCAGATTCACTCGATTACCAGCAAGCATAACTCATTTCGCCTCTATGTTTTCAACGTTCAGAGCGGCTTTCGCCAGAGCCCATTGGAGGCGGATGCTAAGAATCTTCTCCTTGGCGTTGTTGTCCAACTTTCGTCGGGTACGCTTTTTCACCAAGGCTTTCCAGCGATCTCGATTCCATGCATCGTCTGCAGACAGGTCAGCAGCATTCATGTCGATCTTCACGTTGTCCATCCATCGTAATTTGGGTCTGCCTCTCGGGCGTGTACCAGTGAAGGTGATACTATCGGCTGATCTGGACACGGTGTCAAAAGGCCTTCGTAAAACGTGACCTGCACCAGCGTAGGCAGGAAGGTCTTCTCTTCCGAATGTAGTCGAATCGCGTGTGTCCCAGACTCCATCGTAACATCTTCATCTCCATAGACCCATATGCTCTCGTTCGTCAGCCGTCATCTGCTTCGTTTCCGCTCCATAGATGGCGACTGGTCTCACGACTGAGGTGTAAATTTTAGACTTCAGGCGGATCGGCATTTTCCTGTCACAGAGAACGCCAGTGACAGTCCTCCATTTGTTCCATGCAGCGTTTATTCTAGCAATTGTATCGGCTTTACTATCGGCGTCCGCGGCCAGTGTGGACCCTAGATACGGAAACTTGGTGGTCTTGGGTAGGGATGCTCCGTCTACTGTGATCGAAGACGTTGTGGCCGTTGTGCACGTGTATTATGTTTTGTTGATGTTGAGCCTAAGTCCATGGTCCTTTAGCTGTCTCATCCACTGATTGACACGTCTCTGTAATTTCATTTTCAAAGGAATATTTGGCCTTTCTGTGAGCCATGTGGTTTTTAAGTATATTAATATATGGCCTGTAAAATGAGTACAAAGACCTTAGGAATAAGTCATGCAAGCGCAAGAAAAAGGGATGACTTGGGTGGGACGCGTTACCGCGTCATGCTGTTGTCAACGTGTTTAACGCCGTCTCAGGTTTTCAGTATTAGATTCACATTCTGCCCCACCAAGCGCCTTATCCCCTCTGACGGTTCCCACTTCAAGTCAGGATCTCACGTACACATCATAGGTAGCGGGGTTACCCTAGTTAGCAAGCACAAGGATGAGGAGCACGTGAGGTTGAGTCTAGTGAGGTGTTCTGTAGTAACTGGTGCTCAAAACGTTAATCTCCATGGAAGCTCGAGTCGTTCTGGATTTTACCAAGAAAATCGCGAGCGAAAGAGAAAGGTGAGTGTGTAAGACCAGAAGTTCTTTTTGTCATGCAATCTCCAACAAGCGTGACCAGAACTTGAAAATGTAAATAAAAGCACATTCGACTTAGTTACATTTAAGCGACTCCTTCGGTCCGTTGTAATTATACTGACGTAGGGAAAAAACAAAAGGGACTGTTTGCAAGTTGAAGCTCTCAGCAGGCAAAGAAGCCGGAGAAGTTGAAAGGCGAAGCAATCAAAGAAATTCCATATAACATTGGAATTGCAAAGAAGACATGTGATTATTTCAAGGTATAGTCCTGACGAATCTCACAGGGAAAGTGTAAATTTCTTCAGGTTGCTGGTCTGCTTGCCAAGCTAACTGAACTCTGCGGCCAAGAAGTCCATATGGAAAATTTGTGGATTATACGAGACACTTTACTTGTTGAAGTGAGTTTGCCTGAAAGTATGTGAGAAACTAAGTGGCATTTAGGAAGAAACTAACTATTGCAAAATTTATTTCAGCAAATACATGCGAATGAAACTTTGAGAGCAGTAAACAAGTGGTTCAGTGATGATCTATTCAATCAGATGACTGTTATTAACCATCAAATTGAAGCTTATCAAAATGGCATCTTTAGTGAGTTCAAAGAGAAGTTAACAGAAAAACTTTTTTACTAGCAGTCCCTTTCAAGCGAATACGAAATGCACTTGGGCGCGTAATTAGGTCATTATAATTACAATGTACCAGTTTAGTACCGCGTACCGTACAGTACCGCGCGCATGAAACGGAAGCCCTAAGTGAAGCAGGCAGCCGATGAAGCGTTAGGTTCACCGCTAAACATTGAGCTGCTTCGTAAAATGCGTTAGCTGACCGTTCCATAGGCTGCCCATCTTTGCAGAAGCTCACCGTTTGATACGCGCAGTGGAGTGCGGAGCTAAAGTGGTGTCTGTAAACAACCACCATGCATCGAATGTCAGTGTAATTTAGCGGTCGGATTGTGTTTGATGTTGAAATAGAAACATCCAGCACTCGTTATCGTATTTCTTGAACTTCCACCATACATTTTTAGGAACTCTGGGGAGCATAGCGGTTCTAGTGGTATTTCGGGCTGATGATAACAACGCAAATGAAAAATATTGAAATGAAATGCTTTATCTAAAGTCTGGTTTTGAGTGACCTCTATATTCTTGCGCATATCGTTATTATCGGCCCTTATCAGCCGTTATCACTTTCTTCCCCACCATATATGTTCCCGTCCTACCCTCTACATCACTTCTTGGAACCAACGCCTCACTGATGCTGGGACGCGCGCTATGGATATCGTGAATTGGCGTTTTGGCGCCTCTTATCGGATCTTATCAGTCGTTATCACTTTGGTCCCCCACCAAAGATGTTCCCGTCCTACCCTCTACATCACTTCTTGGAACCAACGCCTCACTGATGCTGGGACGCGCGCTATGGATATCGTGGAATTGGCGTTTTGGCGCCTCTTATCGGATCTTATCAGTCGTTATCACTTTGGGTCCCCCACCAAAGATGTTCCCGTCCCACCCCTACAACATACTTAAAATACAGCGCTCCACTGTTGCAGCGAAGGGCGCTATGAATTTCGTGACAAACAGACGTACACACACATACATCGCACAGACATACTTAGCGAATTATATATAGTAGGGTTGCGCTCTTATCAGCTAACTCCTAACTGGAATCGGCAACACATTAGAAAAGGAATAGAGTTGCGGCTATTCAGGTCCAGACATCAGACCTCCCCTAGACCGATGTCAGACTTTGCAAATCCAGCGATTCGCTTACGAATCACTGGATTTGCAAAGTCCGACATCGTTCTTAGGTGGCCATGTCTCACAAGATGCTAATCGATTTTCTCTTCAAACAATTCTTGAAAAACGTTTTGCAGAAATGAGCGTCTTTTCGCTGTTCTGGGATCGAACTAGACATATTTGCCCTCATCGTTGCCTATTTTGGCGCATATCCCTTCCATCAGAGCTGGGACTCCGTTCAGTTAACACATTGACGACAACGCGAGTTTTGGCTTTTTTGGCCACGTGGGACCGCGGCGATTTTGCGGGCGCGCTCGCCTCAGGTCGTTCAAGCAGATTTTGAGTGATAAATACACAACTAATGATCAATTCAAAACCAAATCAGTAAATTGTAATGAGCACAACCTACCCAGGGGTACAGTAGTGGAATTTCGATCGAAAGACATGGAATAACAATGAAAAAGCGAAATTGTCAGAACTAGCTGCAATGGACCTCAAAAGCAATTTTACGTTGATTATTCCAATCAAAACACACATATTGTCATCCCTAAGGTTCCTTATCTACTTCTACTACTATTTAAATCTTCACACAATAAAAAGAAAAAGTAAACGAAAAATTTATTGAAATGAAGATTTCGTATGGTTCAGAAATCCTCCTCTAAATTGAAGTATACGTGACCATTTCTAACCAGGAAGGTCTTTCAGGGCGTGACAAGCTTTTTGAAAACGGTCTTTTGCATGATATAGGGGCAGATGCGGGAACCACAGAACCATGTTTAATTTTTCCTGAACGGCCCTCTGAATACCAGAAAAGGGGTCCCTAGTTCGATTCCTCTTGGTGACAAATTTTTGCATTTCGAGTTGACGTTCCAAAATTCGCGCAAAATGGAGTTCTGATTGTTCTGGTTGGTTCTAACTCCATTTTGCGCGAATTTTGGCACGTCAACTCGAAATGCAAAAATTTGTTACCACGAGGAATCGAACTAGGGACCTCCTTTTCTGGTATTCAGAGGGCCGTTCAGGAAAAATTAAACATGGTTCTGTGGTTCCCGCATCTGCCCCTATATCATGCAAAAGACCGTTTTCAAAAAGCTTGTCACGCCCTGAAAGACCTTCCTGGTTAGAGGCCCCTAGTTTTGCGAGGTCAAATTTTCTTCCATGCGAACAAATACAAGAACATTCTGAGGAAGAAGTATGCAGGCACAAAAAAAATGGTAGTAGATGGGTGCGGGGGATATATCCGCACGTACATGGGCCTGCAATTCGCAGGAATATACAGGGGTGGCCAAAAAAAAAGAGACACTTTGCCCATGGCGCACATCATCGAACTTTTCGTCGCACAGGGAGCCGATGTTAATGAAAGTTTTACGGCGGAATATTCCTTAGGTGTTCCTCCGTAAACAGAAGCAGGCCCTCCTTCACTGCCCCGCCGTCTTCAGAATATGACGTCATCTGCCGCCACCGTCGAGCTCAACGAGGCTTACCGTAATCACTCCGTCCTGAAGCTGCTGCATAAATTTCTCGATGGATTGACTGTTGAATAGCGAGACAGAGACATTAGCTGCGAATATGCAAAAGCTTTTGAGCAGCCCTTCAGAAGCATTGTTAATCGTATATGGCTTTTCGGCAACCTCGTTGAGCTCGTACCGTGCACACAATTTGGAAAATCTTCTGATGTCGTCGGTGTAGAAGGCTGTTGTGTAGCTTGTTGATAGATTATAACGTGCTCTTCAATATTCAGTTGGGGTCATTTGGTTTGGTTTCGCAACGCGTAAATAATTCCGTTTTGAATGTTGAGTGAAGTGTCTCTTTTTTTTTGGCCACCCCTGTATATCCCGCGTTGTCGTCAATGTGTTAATGTTTGTTTTGTACTCCTTGTTCCATTTCCCTCCTACTCTAGAAATAACCTCAAGTGGTTTCAGACACTAGCTAAAGAAAGTTGCGAGCGGACAAACATGCATTCATACAAATATCCTGAACTGATGTCCTTTATGCATTTAGCAACTTAAAACCGCCTTGTGGTGTTTGTGAACTCAAAACTCGAAGCGCACGAATGCCACTGCCCCATTCATCGTGGAAGAGTTAATTAGCCAGTGAAGGATTGTTTGACGCTAGCTGTAATGAACATACAGATACTGTCCTTACTCGGTGCAGGATTAATTTGACTTTCACAGAAACCAAAAAGTCACACGACGAATAAAAAGGCAAAAATATTTTTTTTTCAGACGGCACTTTGATAATGAACAACCTTGATATCGGAAACGAAATCCAGAAGATCCGAGCGGGATCTATGATCAACGACATCAATATGCATATGAATATTAAACTGCAGTGCATGAATAAAACTAGCCGTGGATGCAAATGGATAAATGGACTCAAGTACTACGTCTACTCAGCGGTAAGAGCCAGCACTAACCTTCACTTTTAAAATGACTGCATGAGCGCATTATACTTCTCCTAGCTCCTGTACTAATGGGCCATGTGTAACACTACTAATTGTGACACTACCGTAAGACGGGGCTTAGCGGTGCTCTGCACTCATTGCTCTTGAAAGCTAGTTGCTCTGAGGAGTCTTCCCAATTGAAATACGAACGGCAAGGGAGCAAGAGCTAGTGTCAAAAGGAGGGCATTTTCAATTATCATCCCGGTGCGTTCAAGGCCCAATAAACACTTCGTATCTCATAGGTTCAGAAAATATAGCTCTCACCTAACTTCAATTTCTATCGGAACATTTCGCAATACCCCATGAGCGACATCCAATTCCCTTGTCATTTTGCCACTTCTAGAAAGCTACAAAAGCGTTGAGATAAAGCTAAGCTTTGGGATAAAGCTAATGGGAGAGACGAAAAAATCCAGGGTGCGTAAGCACTGCTCGTCGTTCCCGGACCAGGGTCAACCCTATCGTTGTTACTTTTTAAAAATTTTTACGACCCCCCTCCCCCAAGGTGGATTTGGATACGACCCCCTTTTCCACACCTCGACCACCATCATCTCTCTATAGTATTTAATTCTGGTACCACTCAACCCACCAAACTCCGCCCACTTTTTCCTCCAGCGGGGGGGGTATATACGCTATACCCACCCAGCCTACCTACCCATAAAAACTTCAGTTTCACCTCAAACTCACATGTGATTTCAAGCGACTGAAGCGGGTACGACCCCCCCTCCTACAAACTCAACCAGGTACGACCCCCCCGTTGTTACTAGTAACAACGTAGGGTTGACCCTGTCCCGGACCTCCCCTTCTTAAGCTGAGCAGTAGGGACTCTTCTCTATCTCTACGCCGCGCGACCCCTTAATTACGATGGCACCACTCAACAGTAAATGGTGTCCAGCTAGACAAAACCAGTGCCTTTTGAAACTGTTAGCATAGGGTGACAGCTTTTCCCAGTGTTTCTACTACTGTTAACAATAAGGATATCAGAACCTAGTTTGGAAGCTTCCATGCAATCGCACAGCAAAGAAATTCAGGAGCAATCTGAAATCAAGAAAAAAATCAATAATCAAAAAAGATTTGAAGAAAACCCGCAAGAAGGATTTTCTTGCTTTTGGCTATCATTGAGAACCTGATCTGCAGTTGCTGATATGCCTTATTCTGCTGTTTCCTTCCTGAAATTCGTTACCACATGTGTATAAGTGTTTCTATGTATTATTTTATTAGCAACTAAAAAGC